TTGGTAACATTCCTTCTTATTCTGCCCAATGTATCCTTTCTGGTTTATTTATATTTGTATATTGGATATACTAGACCATATAACAAGCTGTATTTATTTCAAAAAGTATTTCAATTATTTAAAGTTTTTCCCTCGCGCTGTCCAGTTCTACCTTACTGTTAAGTAGCTTCTGGTGGTCTATCCTAGATTAACTTGCCTAGACCTGTTTAATAATTATCCTCTCTGACTCAACAGCCTGATTGGAATCAAATAACTTTTTGTATTTCCTCATAATATATAATTTTCTTAATTAGCATTCCTCAGTTTTTATATTTGTTGGACTTTGGTATCTGCCATGGAGAAAAAATATAGGCGTTTTAGAGCTAAGCTGGTACGCATATATTAGTTGCATTGTATATTGACAAGTGGTCTGACATTCCGGTTTCTCAGAGGGAAGTTGCCATTGCTTACTGTTTTGCAGCAAAAAGAAGACTATAAGGAAGAAAGGTTCTTGGTCCAATCGCTTCTGGATTTTGGCTCACTCACTATATTTCTTTAATAGCCTGGCGCTTGTTTAGGTTATAGTCTTAATCTGGAGAGAATTAACTTGCTTATTGATTGTTTCATACTGTTCCCCCTAGCAATAAGATCTCCACACACTGTTTTATATAGGGGGTCCCCAGCCTTTTTGAGCCTGTGGGTGGCACCTTTTGAAATCTGACACAAAATGGCCATGTGGGAGGCGAAGTAAATTATGCACCCAGAGGAAGCCCAAATGCAGGGGTTGAGAGGAGTAGATTTTAAAAATACACTGGGAAAGAGGAGTCAGAGAGAATAAAACCGACACTATCGGGGCAGCTGTCACTGAGATGTTTTAATCTGCAGAGCCCATCAGATCTCAAATGGGCAGACGCTCACCTGGCCGACCGACCTAAAAATATTTGGGGGGCAGGGACTCCTGGTTTTTTTAAGTTGAGAATTAAAACTAAACTGTCTTTGAACACTGGCCAGTCTTATCTTATTTTCTGTCTGTAAAATCTTTCCTGGGAATAACTTGTAAAATATAGTAAGCGGTTAGTCTGTTTTGTCTGTTGTATGCCCGTTGGCTTTGAAAGCGAAGTTTTGCTATAAACTGGTGCAAGGAGTAAGTTGATTGAGGCTGCTTTCATAATTACCAGGCAGGATCTCTGATCCTTACTGCTGGACATCTGCTCATTTCTCTTTACAACAAATAAGCAAACAAGAGAAGCTCCTGCAGGGTGTGTGTATCTTTTGCTGCCAAAAGAAAAGGAACTCCTATTGTATTAGTCTTCCAAATATTTGACATATCAGAATTGGTTTGATTTAGTTTGCTAATGATCGTGGGGAACTGAAGCCAGTTGTTGGTCTATGACGTGTATCTATATAATAATGTTATTCCAAATATGTTGGATTCATGTTTCACATTATTTAGGTTAATATGGAATACTTGACAAACAAGGCCAGTTTGGTGTAGTGGTTAAGTGCGTGGACTCTAATCTGGGAGAACCGGGTTTGATTCCCCACTCCTCCACTTACATCTACTGGATTAACTTGGGCAAGCCATAGTTCTGATAAGAGCTGTCCTTGAAAAAGAGCCGTTTTTGTCAGAGCTCTCTCAGCCCCACCTACCTCACAGGGTGTCCGTTGTGGGGAGGGGAAGGGAAAGGAGTTTGTAAGCCACTCTGAGACTCCCTTGGGTAGTGAAGGGCGGGGTGTAAATCAAATCTCTTCTTCTTCTTCTTAACTCCAGATGTGAAAGGATGAAAGATTTTAATGTGAAATGGCTCTAAAACCAGTGAAAATTTAGGCAGCCTTGAGGCCAAGTATGCTATTAACAAATGCTGAATTCTTTAAAGTTACTAAGCACCACAGCTTCTTTTCTGCGAAAGCAGTAAAAACATACTGCTTATCTGTCCCGGAAACTAGGGCAGCTTTGGTGCGTGCCATTACTAGTCCACATAGTTAATGTATGTGGACTTTCTATGTATAATCTCATACAACAAATTAAGAGATTTGTGCTTTTGAAGTATATCCATCAGAGCTCTGTTTTCGCAGCATGATCAGCAACAAAGTATAATTAGGAACTGGTAGACAGAGACTAGGACTTGGACCAGGAGACCTGTTTTCAAGTTCCGTCTCTGTCATGAACTCTTACACAGCCTTGGAGCTAGAAGCTGTTGCAGCCTCAGATGCTCATTTGTAAAAAGCGCGTAACTGTCACCTTCCTCACATGATTGCTGTGAGGGTGAATTCAATAAACAAAACATTGTAGAAGTGAAAAACATACATGCCGGGTAAATGCACAAAACATGCTGAAAAAAGAAAGAGGGTGGAATCCTGTTCTTCCTCAGTAGGTACTCTTATTGATTTCAAAAGGCAAAATGCCCAGTATTGTCTTCACAGGGCTCATGGTTCCAACTGCTGTGCTAATAATAAGGAAAAAGCCCGTTGAATTACATGGTACCAACTGTGTTGAAATTCTTTCTGCTGATTCTTTAAAAAACCTCAAGGAGTACTACTAATTACATAGTTTCTAACGTCTCTCTCTGAAGTTTGTGTGGCGTTCTGCTCTCTAGTGGCAGGCTTGAGGTTATCAATTCATCAGATGGCTTCAACATGCCAAAACATGGATCAGGTACAAATTTATTGTTTCAAAACACATTTCACAACTAGGAACAGTAAAAGGAATATACAAAATACTTTATCAGAGTCATTGAAGGAATGTACAAATTCCATAAAATGTTTCTGGAGCAGAAGCCTCAAGTGTCTTTTTCCACAAATGTCACAAAAGTACGTAATATATCAAATGCCAACTTTTGCAGTACAACACCATTGTCTAAATATTTGTATCAGAATTTAGAAACGTAGCTGACGCTTTCAACATGCTCCATACAGCAGAACAGTTATTGGCTGCAGTGCCTCCTCGTCATATGGGGGACTATGGCACGTTCCTTCATCAGAGAGTATAAATTCAGTCTTGAACAATAATCAGTTTCTGAATATTTAAATAGTCCTTTGGTGCAAGGTTTAGGAAAGGCTGGTGGTCAGTTCAGAAGTTATGCGACTAGTCAGCATTCAAGTATGGAGAAACATGATAAGGAAATATCGATAGAAAAATAAATTTGATTTCTGCGAAGGGAATAAATTCAATAGACATCCACAATAAGAGGTGATGTATAATCAGAGTGTCTGATTCCGAAAGAAATGACTGGAGCACAAGATTTGTTCAATGATACCTAGAAGCCGGAGGAAAAATACATAAGATGAGTTAGACGTTCTTTCATTAGTTAACAGATTCTTAATTTTTTTCTCTACATATCTTCTGGACACAATAGGCTGTTTCCTGCTGGCTTGCAAAATAAGTGACAATATGAACTAATCATGTATAGTTACAGAATTCAGCTGGGACTTTGATTAAATATTGCTGGAATGGGTAGGTACCCTGTGGAACTTGGAAGACAGAGACTCCTCTCTTCAGAGGCAAATATGATTTGTGCTGTAACAAATGTAAGGTTTTTTAAATTTTTAAAACTTTGCAGTATCTATAAAGAACTATCTACTGGTGTGAGTTTGAAGAGTGATGGGGTCTGTGAGTGATTCTGAAGTTCTTTGTGAATATTAGTGATTTGTCCCAAGGCATCAATGCATGGGATGAGCCCTTTCCACCTGCTTTGCAAGGCATTGTGGAATACTGATTGATTGGAATTTGTGGGAAAGCCTTGCACCATCAGTTATTTAACCTTCAGATGGCATGTTATGTGCTTAAGGCTAATGATATGATGCCAAAAGGGTATGGGCCTTTCCATGCTTGATAAAGAGTAGAAGGCAGCATATCTACCCTTGGACTGTTGCTAGGCACTCCATTTCCCCCGCTCTGAGCAACTGCCCAATTCTTATGGAATTTACCACTTGAAGCACCAAGGGACGTGTGCCCTACGTGTCCTTCTGTGAAGCAGCTTTACTTTTTCACCTTTTACAGTGTGTAAAATGACAGCATAAAACTAAAAAAAAAAAACCCTACCACATTAACTTCCAAAATTTTTTGCTGTTGGTCTATCCAAGAAATGCAGCTTCATAAATAATACTGATTCTTGTTATGTATGAGGATGAACAGGACCCATGTGTGTACACTTCACATGAGATTCCTGTTTGGCAACTCACTCAGCTATCCCCCTGAGCTGATCATACACTTTGGTCATATATACACGCACGGGGGGGGTGTGTGTGTTGAAAACGAACAAAGTGGAAACTCACAGAGAGGTACCTTCTCTTTCTCAAAACATACACACACACACACAGCCACCCATAGCTGCGATCTGCAAATATCTAAATCTGCAGATTGGGGCTATGTGGAGGCTCAACAGATGTTTCTGCAAACTCAGGGTGCCCCCTAGGTTTGCAGAAAAATCTGACTTTAAAAGTAGGGGGTTTAAATTCCCCCCAAAATAAAAAGCGTTCTCTGCACTTGCACTTGGAACCTGTACTGGGCCTGTCTGCAGTGCGGCAGTCCAAGACCCACGCTGGGCCCAGTGACAGTGCGGGAGACAGGAGGAAAAGGGTGTGTGTGTGTGATTTTTGCTCCTGCGACTTCTGCAGCCCCACCCCCCACACAGAGCTGGGGAAGAAGTCTTTGCTGCCTCCCCATGAAACCAGCAGCCTGCCTCCCGCCTCCTGGGAAGCAGGTGGGAAGAGCAGCAAGGATGGGGGTGTGGTGGAGTGCCAAGGGTGGGGGGTAGGTGGGAAGAGGGCAAATGGGGGGTGAGTGAATGCCAGAGGGGGTAGTGGAGAGCCAAGGGGGGTAGGTGGGAGGCGAGCAAGGAGAGGAATGAATGCCTGGGGGGGGGGGTGGAGTGCCAAGCATGGGGGTAGACAGGGAGACCTACAAAGGTAGGGGTCAGTGGGGAATAGGTGGGAAGAGCACCAAGGGGGGGGGGTAGGTTACAGTACAAAGGGCCAAGGGTGGTGGTGGATAGGTGAGGAGAGCAGCAAGCGCTGGGTAGACTGATGGAGAAAAGGTGAGGAGGCAAAAGAGATGGGGGTGGGCTGACAGATAAGGGGAATGGGAGAAAGAGGGAGATAGGGGGTAGGTTAACAAAGGGGAGGGGTAGTTGACAGAGAAGTACGGGAGACAAAAGAGATGGGGATAGGTTGACAGATAAAGGATGGGGGAGAAAGAGAAGATTATTAAGAATGAAGAGGGAAGGAAGTGAAGAGAGGGAAGGGACGCATCCTCTCTGCAAGTTTCTTGCAGGTCCCCACGTGTCTGTGTGTGTGTGTGTGTGTGTGTATACCTACAAAGATATACATGCATACACAGAAAGACAGACAGGCACCTTCTGTTTCTCAAAGCTATTTGCAACAGCTAAAATTGCAACTGTGGATGTGGAATATTTCCTTGAACAAAGATTTTCACATGTCGCCCACCAAGGGAATAGCATGATATACATAAAATAGTACACTGCACTGAAGTACATGGGCCAGTGTTTTAATGCCTTCACTGGTATTAATTCCTGTAAGAGAATATCCTCCACAAATGTTTGTGACCATCTCACAGTTCAATCCAGTCCAACTCATCATTCATGACCTGCGGGCTATCGAGGACAATGATGTTTCATTTCCAGGCCCCTGAGTGGCAGATCTTCCCTTGCTTAGAGAAAGCCCCCTAACTTGAAATAACTTCAAGCCTACAACAATGTTATCTCCAACAAAGGCACAAGCTCAGGAAATGTGAACTTTGTCTGTTAGATCGCACTAACAAAGGACTCTTAGAGTGATTCAGCAAGTGATTCAGCTTTATTGGAAGTAACGAACAAGCACTCAACTCCGTAAGAAACCAGAACAGAAAACAGTGGGAGCTTATGCTCCTTTTAAACATAACCGGGCTAATGTAGCCACGCCTATTTACAAATAACAACCAATGAGATTGCTTAGTTAAGGACCAATGAAAGTCTTTCCCTCGCAGGGAAAAGGCACAGTTCTGATTGGTCGCTGTTTCGAAGCGACCAATAGGAAGTTCGCTCAGAGGAGCCTGGTCTGGCTCGAAGCTTAACATAGGAGTCCTATGAGGTGATTCATGTAATCGTTTCAATACATTACAATTCCTCCCCCCTAAGTTAAGTCATCATCCATTTGTTTTATTATTTACAAACATTCAAGTCATGCTGTTGTACATCGACTGTTCCAAAATACTTTATTACAATCATAGTCTTTTAGATAAGTCGGCATCTGCCGCGTACGCTGAGACCTGCGAAGCGGTGCAGGCTCTATGGGCACACAAGGTTGTGAGTCACTGTGGGGTTCACTACAGCCTGGTTCAGGCACAAACTCTACTGGGGTTTCAGCCCCGCACACAGGGGTCTGCCCTGACTCGGGGACAGTACCGGGCCCTTCGGTACTCACCGCCTGCTCTGGGGGTCTCCACTCAACATTGGGGAATTCAGCCGTCGGAGAGTCAGCGCTGTCCTTAGCCCAACGTCTCCTTAGCTGATCTATGTGGCGCCGCCATACTCGACCGTCAGCCAACTGTACCACATACATGCGAGTACCCACAGAGTCGGATATTACCCCAGGAAGCCATAAGTGACCATTAGCATAATTTCGGGCGAAAACCTTGTCTCCTTTTTCAAACATGCGCACCTTCGGTTGCGGTTCTGTACGCTCGGAGTGATCGTCAGTTAGATCCGGATGTAACCTGTTTAAGCAGGTTGTGAGTCTGCGTCCCATTAACAATTCGGCCGGACTACGGCCTGTAGAACTGCAAGGGGTGGTATGCTGCCGCAAGAGGAAAGCACCCAGCCTTTGGCTCCAGTCACCTTCGTTCATTTTCCCTAGGGCCTCTTTTGCCGTCCTTACCATCCGTTCGGCCTGGCCATTAGATGCCGGATGGAAGGGGGCCGAAGTCATTTGGCGGATGCCATTACTCGTGAGGAACTGCTTAAACTCCTCAGAGACAAATTGAGGCCCGTTGTCACTGACGAGGACGTCAGGCAACCCGTGCGTGGCGAAAAGATGGCGGAGCGCATGGATCACGGCTAGTGAAGTGGTTGTTTTCATGCGCACAACCTCTAACCATTTAGACATTGCATCCACTACTATGAGAAACATGTTCCCCTGGAACGGGCCAGCGAAATCCAGATGCAATCTGGCCCAGGGTTTCCCTGAAGACTCCCACCTCTGAGGCGGAGCTTGTGGGGGTTCCGGCCTGACTTGCTGACACTGGGAACACACGCGAACCCAATCCTCAATCTCTTTATCCAGCCCAGGCCACCAGACATACCCCCTGGCCAACGCTTTGGTGTGCACCATTCCAGGGTGCCCCTCGTGCAGAGATTCTAGAACTCTGTTCCTGAGCTTGTCAGGGACCACCACCCTGTTGCCCCATAAAACACAGCCCTTAGAAATGGACAGTTCACTTTGGCGGCATTTGTAGGGTCCAAATTCAGGTTCAACACTCCCAACTGGCCACCCCCTCCAAACCCAGTTTAAAACACGGGACAGCACGCTATCTTTAGCCGTGTGTGCAGCAATGTCCCTGGACGATACAGGAGCCTGAGGGAGTTCGTCCAGTGCCAAGACCTCACAAGCAGGAGCAGGGTCGGGTCCCGCACAGGGCAATGGGCAGCGGCTGAGGGCGTCCGCATGTCCGATTGCCTTCCCAGGCCGGTGTTCAAGGTCATAATCGTACGCCTGCAAAAAGAGCGCCCATCTAAGCATGCGCGGGGACATGATATTCGGCAGTTGCTTATCGGGTGCAAAAATCCCCAGTAGCGGCTTTTGGTCAGTGACCAGCAAAAATCGCCTGCCAAAAATAAAGTCATGGAACTTTTTGACAGCCGCTACTAAAGCCAGACCCTCCTTGTCAATCTGGGCATAGTTCCTTTCTGCCTCAGAAAGAGATCTTGAGTAAAAAGCGATTGGCGCCTCGCTCCCATCAGGCATCAGGTGGCTCAAAACCGCGCCAATTCCAAACGGTGAAGCGTCCGCAGCTAACACCAGGAGCTTCTGGTCATCATAATGCGTCAGCACGTCATTAGACACCAACAGCTCCTTAACCCCCACGAAAGCCCTTTCTTCGGCCTGTCCCCACTTCCATTTCGCCTCCTTATGCAAAAGTGCGTGCAAAGGGGCCGCCACTGATGCCTTATGCGGTAAAAACGCATGATAAAAATTGAGGAGTCCTAAAAATGATTGGAGCTCCTTCTTACTCACCGGCCTGGGGGCGTCTCGGATTGCAGTCACCTTGTCAGTAGTGGGGTGCACCCCGTCTGCATCAATCCTGAACCCCAAGAACTCTACACTGCTAACTCCCAGTGTACATTTTGAACGTTTTACTCTGAGCCCAGCGTTTTGGAAACGCTTCAAGACCTCCTTCACCCGGTCCATCAACTCATTTTCAGACCTCCCCGCAATTAACACGTCGTCGAAGTAGGGCACCGTCCCTGGTACCCCCCTCAAGAGTTGCTCCATCAGGCCCTGAAAGATGCCGGGCGCCACATTTACCCCGAACTGTAGGCGATTCACCTTAAAAGCCCCCCTATGGGTAACAATAGTCTGAGCCTCTGCAGCCTCAGGAGTGACAGGCAACTGCTGGTATGCCTGTGCCAAGTCTAATTTGGCAAAGATCTTTCCGCCCCCCAATGAAGCCAGGATGTGGCTAATAACCGGGACGGGATAGGAGTGTTGTTGTAACGCCTTGTTAAGGGTGCATTTATAGTCTGCGCATAAGCGTATGGACCCATCAGGCTTAACTGGTGTTACTATAGGCGTCTCCCACTTGCTGTGAGGAACAGGTTCCAAAATTCCTTGTTCCACGAGTTTATCAATTTCCCTCTCTACTTTAGGCCTGAGGGGAATTGGAACCTTCCGATATTTCAGTCTGATCGGCTTTACAGATGGGTCAAGTTCAAAAGCAACCGGGGGCCCTTTGTACCGCCCCAGACCCTCTGCAAACACATCAGGGAACAGGTCATACATCATATCCCATTTATTCTCAAGCAATTTGTTAATCCCTGAAATACCAATGCCCAATGGCTCAAACCAGTCCAACCCCAGCAGGTTGACCCGGTCTCCCTCAGCAATAAGACATGACAGTTTAACACATTTCCCCTTATACTCAACATGTACAGTGTCTCTTCCGGCCAGGGGAATCCGGTTGCCCTGGAAGTCGGACACTCTGGTCTCCGCAGGCTGGAGCCGCCGTCTGCTTCTGGTCGGAAACAGCTGTTGCCAGGATGCTGCAGAAATCACCGTTACAGAAGAGCCGGAGTCCACCTCCATAGTGCATGGTCTGCCGTCGAGGAGTGGGGTCACGGTGATCTTCCCTTGGCAACTGGTGCGGTTTACAGCCGATGCGCTTGTCCGGGTCGTTGTAGTCTGGCAGCTTGCTTCCGATGCCGGGAAACGCTGCTTGCTGCTTCGGGAATTTGCGGGGGTATTCCTTTGTGCCGACCTGCTGGTAGGTGAGGGATCCTTCCGTGCCGATCTGCAGACTCTGGCCAGATGACCACGCCGTCCACAGGCTCTGCAGTCGACATCCCGGGCCCAACAGGAGTCGCGCTGGTGTTTCCCGCCACAACCGGAGCAAGGCTTGACGATGGTAGGCTTCGCTGGGGTCCGCTTGCCTCGAACCGCGTTGACGTCATCGTCTGCTTCCTCGCTCTCGCTGTCCCGCTGCGAGTGGACGCTGTGCTCTGCCATCCGCTGGCGGACCTCCTTCGTGGACCTATCCGCTGCTTCTGCGGCCAAGGCCTCTTCGTAGGCCACTGCCCAGGTCAGAGTGGTACGGGCGAACAGCTGCTTGCTTTCTTCCGAGTCCGAAGTGTGGATGTCCGCAGGGCTGCCTACCTGCTCTAACATCCCACCTTCGTCGCCAATTGTTAGATCGCACTAACAAAGGACTCTTAGAGTGATTCAGCAAGTGATTCAGCTTTATTGGAAGTAACGAACAAGCACTCAACTCCGTAAGAAACCAGAACAGAAAACAGTGGGAGCTTATGCTCCTTTTAAACATAACCGGGCTAATGTAGCCACGCCTATTTACAAATAACAACCAATGAGATTGCTTAGTTAAGGACCAATGAAAGTCTTTCCCTCGCAGGGAAAAGGCACAGTTCTGATTGGTCGCTGTTACGAAGCGACCAATAGGAAGTTCGCTCAGAGGAGCCTGGTCTGGCTCGAAGCTTAACATAGGAGTCCTATGAGGTGATTCATGTAATCGTTTCAATACATTACATTGTCCTTATATACATACACTCAAGCGACCTGATCATAAGGCCTAATAGTGTAAACTATGTCAACTATGGGTCATTCACTTGCTCCTCCTCCAATGTAATATATTCCATTATGTATCAACAATGTCCTCTCTACACTGGACAAGCAGTCCCTATCAAAGGAAAAAAGCTTTTATAAAGCTTTTATAAAGCCCCTGCTCTTTGGTTCAGGGTTTTATAGCGCTCCCTCCCCAACAATGTGTCCGTATACAGCAACTGGGGAGTAGAATCCTTTCAAATGGAGGGGAGGCCGTGTATTACCTTTCCGACTTCATAGTATGCAGGTCCAGGTCCTAGTTTATTTGCTGAAGTCTTAGTTCGGAATCCCATGGAGTACTTTGGTGCTCTCTTTTTGTAAAGCTCTGTATCTGGTTTTATGTATGCAGCGGGGCCTGGGGTCTGTAAAAGAAAAGTAATAGGACTTTCACCAATGGAATAACCTGTTGTTTCCATACTCAGTTTTGTCACACACTAATGTGAGCTTCTTACTGTACCAAGATGTAAAGATTTTTTAAATAGCCATTTTATTTTTTAAAAGCCCAACAAAAAACAAAAACAAACAAACAGGCATGCAGACATACATATTGGTAGGGGGTTCCATTTACACGTTATTTTACCTATTAAGTTACCTCATACATTATCTAATTATATATTTTGCTTCTTTAATTTTCCAACCCATGTAGATTTGAATAAAACTTTGCTCATAACCAGGGCTTTTTTTGTAGAAAAAGCCCAGCAGGAACTCATTAGCATAATAGGCCACACCCCCATGCCTTCCCTTGGCCCCCTGGCCGGCCTGCCTCAGAGTTGCCTGGGGGGGGGTCCGCTCTCCAGGCCTTCCCTCTGTAGCCAATTACACGCAGAGGTTTTGGCTGTAGTGGGTATGGCCAACTCTGAAGCCAGCCGGAACTCCATTCTTGTGTGTTCCTGCCCCAAAAGAGCCCTGCTCATAACTAAAACTATAGTTCATATTTTCCTCTGACTTGGTTGTACACCCATATGGTTTATTTATTGTATTCTTCCATCCATTTATAAAACCTTGACCATGTATTCTCAAAGTTTTTTTCATTTTGTCCTCTCAAAATTAAAGTTAATTTGTCCATCTCTGCAGTTTCAAGTATTTTATTTAAGATTTCTTCTTTTGAAGGTACTTCATTCCTCCAGTATTTGGCATATAATATTCTTGTAGCTGTCACTACATGTGTAATAAGATAAGAATCTTGCTTTTTACAATTTTCTGGTAATATATTCAATAAAAACAATTCTGGTATATAAGGTATAGTACATTTTAACATTTTTTGTAACAATTCATGAATCCAGGACCAATACTTTTAAACTCTATCACACGTCCACCACATATGAAAAAAAGAACCAACTTTTTTGACACTTCCAGCAATCATTTGGTAGGTCAGGATAAAATTTTGCTAGTTTATCTTGAGTAATATACCATCAATAACACATTTTATAAATATTTTCTTTATAAGTAGTTACTTTAGTGAACTTTATATTTTTTCCCATAACTGTGACCATTAGTCTAAATCAATATTATGACCCAAGTTTTGTACCCCTTGAACCATAGAGTTTTAAACTATTTCATCTTGTGTTTTATTTTCTAACATTATTACATATAATTTCTTAATCAATTTCTCATCAGTATATAACAGTATCAATCTCTGTTATTTTTGAATAAAAACCTACTTGCTTGTCTTTAGCATATTTTGATTCTATTTGGA